CTTTGATCGTCATGCTCTGAGTCTCGGGGAGGCGACGGTCGTCTGTCCCTCTTGGCGTAGCGCATGTCCTCCGAGTCCTCTGAGCTGTCCTGGACCATGAACACGTTTTGATACGGGCTTCGGAAGTACCCGATGTCGTTTAACTGCTCCATCGTGAGGTCGTTAATGTCCATTTGATCACAACCTTGCATGAATACATCCATAGACCAAGCGGGTGGCCCCGCTGTTGCGTCTGGCGTCTCTTCGGCGGGTGACCCCGCTAGAGCTTGGAGTGCTGTCAGCATCTGAGATGCTGACATGTCCGAATCCAAGTATGGACGTAGACGTGCAGCTCCTGGGTGTGACAGCAGTTCGTTCATAGTTATCTGCTGCTGTGCTGGCGCACTCAGGAGTTGGATTGCTTCTGAAACCTGCTCTTGGAGCATGTCCTTATAATCTTCTTCGGCTTCTTCGGAGTCGGAATACGCGGGATGGCCCCGCATTTCGTCATCGGCGTCTCCCGCCTCCGAACCAGCCCACAAAGGATTTGGCAGCAACGGCATGCCAATTACTTGCGGGGCCAGCACGGCGGTGAGTTCTTCCTCTGTTGCCGGGACGGTCTCGGCTTCGGAGACCTCGTCGCCGGCGGGTGGCCCCGCTGGAAGACCGAACCAAGCATTGTACGCGACCTCGTCGACCTCGTCCCAGCCGTGGAACTCGTCGAAGAGGGTCACTGCGTAGTCTTCCAGGGCTACAGTTGCTTCAGCGTAGCGGGCCATCACGTAATACGTGGAGGAGCCCGCAGCGGGAGCCGCTTCTGGATTGACGTAAAACTCGTAGTCAATGTAATCTATGTCATCCATAAAAGAATTTTGAGCCAAATGTACGGATCCCTTTCCTTTCCCCTTCGGGCATTGATCGCGCAAATGCTCTGTGCTACCGCATGTATGACACTTCATAGCATTACCAGAAGCGTCCCTAGGGTTGCCCCTCCGCCCCTTTCCCTTACCGGAGGTCCGCCTGTGACCCCGACCTTTGCCTCCGATAAGAACTTCTTCAAAAGCCATATCAGTTAAGGACGTGAGGAAAGCAGTAATACCCCTACCATGCATACGGCGTCTGCGACCCCCTTTGCCACGACCCTTTCCAAATCGTTTGAAATGTCGGCGTACTGCACGTCTCACCTTTCTGACTGGTTTCTTCATAAAGCGCCTCCAACGGCGTTTTGATTTGCGATAAGCCATAAAAGCGGCTTCCGCTCTTTGTTGTTCAGAGAGGTGAGTGTCATCCGCTGGGTAGTCATTACCAGCAGAGACTATTCCATTGTGCTCATCGTCAGATGAGGTATCTGTGTCAGTGCCAGATTCAAACGGTGAGGGTGGCTGAGACCCTTGAGCGGATGACTCCGCTTGGCCCCAGAGGGTTGTGCCCGAGGGCGGGCTTGCAGTGTAGGCGGCGCCTGGCGAGTAGTTCGACCAGGCGTTCGCCTCAGCTGCCTCTGCCGATGCCTGGCCAGTCTGCCCTAAAAGGGCAGTGGCCTCGTTGGGCATATCGGCTGGGTCAGCCCAGGGATTTGGCTCGCCAGGACCAGCGGGTGACCCCGCAGTCGTGGCGTAGACACCTGCATGTGAGTGGTGCCCTGTGAAGATACCCGCTATGTTGCCAGGAGAGCGCTCGGCAACATGTCCGTAGTTCCTCATCCTGGTCAGCAGCCTGTCATAGTCTGCTTGTGTTCGGGGCATCTGATGATTGAAGGGCTCAAGCAGGTGTTGGGCTCGTGACGCGCCAACGCCTAACGCTCTGAAGAGAATCAGCGTTAGGATCTGAAAGTTGGGGATGACAAAGCCAACAGAGTTAGCCTCGTCACGGGCCATCTCGAACCGAGCTAACACTGAGTCGATTCGCTCGCCCCTTTCGACGCGAAAGTCGATAAGGGCAGTGCCAGAGTTGAGCTGGCGCTCATCTTCCAGATTTTCAAATTTGGTGCTCAGTAAGTACAGTATATATGTTACTGCATCCGTTGGCTGTCCATTGACAGTTACACCATAATTGATGATCTGGGAGGGGACCTGCATGGCGATACGACGAGCCAGACCTTGAAGGCCTCGTTGTAGTGCTGCAGCTTGTTGTGGTGGTGTCATATTGCCACTCGTTACGTTTAACCATGCATGTACTTCGCGAACGTATTCGCGAAAAGGCGTAGTACCGGCAGGGTCCCATGAAGGGCCAGTAGTACGCGTGTCGTCCATCCCCTGCCGCATGTATCCCACAGCACATCCCATTATTACCCACAGAATGCCGAATATAGTTATCTTGATCCAATGCATGTGCATTTCGGCTTCGGTGATTGGTTTAGGCTGTGGTTTGTCAGGCTCTGGCGTAGTAGCCGTGAGGCGCCTGACTGGCACGGGATGCAGGTGGCCCCGCTGCGGGTAGCCCCGCAGGGTGACCACGTTCTCGATCGAGTTGCCGATTGGCATCTGGTGGAAGTCGGGAGTGAAGTAGCGCAGTGAAGTAGGAGAGAGCGTCTCGAGTTCGCGGGTTGCCCCGCTAGCTCGATCGCGGACTGGCTCCGCTCCTCGCAGAGCCGGCGCAACATGGTATTCCACCGTAGTAGTAGTCCACCAAGTTGTGCCGTGGATTACAGGAATCAGAGCGAGAGCCAGCCACACGAGAGTGTAGCCAGCTCCGCTACCAAGTCGAAAACAAGCTGGTAAGCTTAGGTATGTGTTACGCTTTAAGCGTTGCCATATCCCAGGCTTTGGCTCATATCGCATGAGCAAGAGTGCAAGACGAAGCATGGGATCTGGAGTAAAGGATAGGATGGGCATCGTCAATGGAAAAGGTATTTTCCGATCTCTGATGCAAGTCGTGCGCCTCAGTGAGGCACAGTCATATATTTGGCCGGGCCCGGCTTGAGCCAGGCACGGCAGCGGTACATGCTCGATTTATACCTCGCCTTTAACCTTCTCCGTTTAAAGTCGCGTCGAGTCTCGTCGCCTGCTTCGTCGGGCCCATGAGGGCCCTTAGACGAGCCGAGAGGGCCTCAAGCGACCGCCCAGACGGCCCAAGGGCCTCAAGCGAGCCAAGAGGCGGGCCTCCAATCGCACACGACCGCGCCAAGACGCCCAAGATGGCCCCAAGAAGCCTTCGAGATGCCCCAAGAGAGCCCCAAGAGCCTTCCCAAGGGGGCCCCGAGAATATTTTCATAAAAATCAAAAGGTTTTCCAAAAACGGTGTGGGATTCTCCACTTTTCGGAATCCCAACGCCCCAAGGCGTCTCAACAGGTCCCCAAGACCGCTCCAAAACGGCTCCAGAGGCCCCCATCGGGGCCCCAAGATGGCGGAAGAGGCGACCAAGACGGCCTGACAAGGCTCCAAGACGGCCCGGGAATACGAACCGAAAATCCGAGCCTTCCGCAACAACAGGCGCCGAAGAGGCCCGTCAAGTAGCCCCCGAGAGGCCCACAGAGGACCCTCAGAGGCCCCCACGAGGCCCCCACAAGGCCTCAAGAGGCCCCTGGAGGCCTCGAAACAGCCCCCCAGGGGCATCAAAACTGCCTCCAGGAGGCCCCCGAGAAGCCTCGACGAGACCCCAATGAACATCCAACAGGCCTCACGCTCACGACCCAGGCACGGTGGCGAGGTGGGCCGAAGGCCATCGGACAGTGCGGCTATACTGCGCGCCGCGCGAGGCCTCCAGGAGGAGGAGGAGGAGGAGGAGGAGGAGGAGGAGCAGAAAACGAAAAAGGAGGAGGAGGAGGAAGAAAAGGAGGAGGAGGAAGAACAGGAGGAGGAGGAAGAGGAGGAGGAGGAGGAGGAGGAGGACAGGATTTCTTCCTAGCTACCCCCCGCCCCGACGTTGGGGAGGGAAGGAGGAGACGAGCTCCGACGAACAGCGGGGCCCCCTCACTGAGAGGGGGCGGCGCGCGGGAGAACGGCGCGCGCGCGGCAGGGCCCGTGCGCATCGGCACGGGCACGGCGCGGCCTCCGTGTTTATGTACGCTGCGGGAGGGCCGCATGGCGAGGCGGGGATATACTCCAGATTTCGTAATAAAGGGAGGGGTGTCTCATTTCGGGGGGGGTCTTTTCCAAGCTATCTTGGAGGGCCTGGGGGGGGTCTGGGGACGATGTTTTGGAGGGTTCTCCCACGGGGGAGGTCTGAAATGGCTTGTCTTGGAGGGTCCAGACCCCCTCCCTTTTATTACGAAATCTGTAATACCCATACAGTCGGGCTTGCTTGGAGAGGACACGCGAGAGGACATAAGACCCTTCCGAGGGCCACATTGCCACAGGAATGCAGGAGGCGTGGATCGCGAAACACAGGACGCGAGGGCACCCTTGATTTGGCAGGGTCGACCTACTAATCCGGGCCGGCTGTATCCACCACCTGGGAGATCGACGTACTGGGACCCCAGCGGGCGGTGGATGTGGATATCTGTTGGCCCCAGGGGGCCAGAATACATCCATGTCCACCGCCTGCCGAGGTTCCCGACGAACGATCCCCCAGGAGGTGGTTAGTTATGTAGAGATCCCCGCCACGGACGCAGAGCGCTGTTCGGGCGGATATTCCGCCGCCGTGCCTTGTGCACGCTGGGGCGTGTTTGAATGCGCCGCTGCTGTCTAGTAATAGGGAACAAAGAATGGCATGAACATAAAAACTCGAAGGTCCGCGCGGACTTCTCGGATTGGCGCTGGACCACCCTTCCTGTCGCGCGGAGCGCGCCAGGGAAGGCGCAGGAGGCGCCGCCAAGGGGCTCCAGCGCCGATCCGAGAAATCCGCGCGGACCTCCGAGTTGTCATGTTTATGCCACTGCTTGTTCCCCGAGGTAAGGGGTGCCTTTGGGGTCTTCTGGGGCCAGCACCATACCCAAGGCCTCCCAGACGGAACTGGGAGGCTCCCGAGAGGCCCTCGAGAGGCCCCAAGGAAGCTCCAACATGCGCCTGCAACTGAACCTCTTTCACGCTGTGCTGCTGCTCTGGCGCGGGGGCTGGGGTTGTCGCAGGCAGCCTGGATAGTCTGCGGCAGGGCCATCGAATTCTGAAGAGAATCTGCGCCCCTCACTCCCTCCCTGATGGGCCGACGTCCCACCAACACGACCATCGAGAGGAGGAGGAGGAGGAGGAGGAGGAGCAGGAGGAGGACCTCCCATCCTCCCCTCTTCCCCGTCCTACCCATGGCAGCGGTGGTGGAAGCTTGGCCCATCACTGACTACCTACCAGACCACCCCAAAGCAACCCGAAGACCCGAATTTCGGGTTGGGGGTGGGGTAATTAAGGGTTCCACGCGTGTTTTTGTCGATGTTCCCCGACCCCCCCCCACTGGGAATCGACGGTAAATTTGAGCCTTCGGGTTGGGGTGGGGTGGTCTGGTGGGTGGTGAATCACTCCTCCCCCCGTGCTCCTGGGAGGGCGAGGCGCGGACCGTGAGCGGAGGCTTCCGCCGTCGGGCGCCTGCCCGAAGGGGGCGGCTCGACGGCGCTTCTGGCCCGCGCCGCGTGCCGCCATACAGTCGGGCCCAGGCCGGGGAGCACGTCCCTCGACAACGTGAGGCTCTCCGTCGGCCGCCGCAGGCAGAACATCAGACGGGCGCCCTCCCCGGGATGCGCACCAGAACGTCCGGCAAGCTCTCTTGCGTCGGCGGCTGGGCAGGGGTCGTCCGTGCTGGCAGGTGAAGCCAGCCAAATGTGGGCTCCGTTGCAGCGAACTGGCCAACATGCAAGAGCGAAGGGGCTCCAGGACACACGAAGAAATGCATACAAATAAACATGCTCCCCATATTTTCCTATATTTTCTGGGTTTCTGTCTTCCTCCCCACTTCCCATATTTTCCAATATGTTCGCTGAATCGCCGATGAATTGTGTCTGTGTATTTTTCCCCTCCTGAAAGAGGAGGGGAGGACGGGAGGGCGGGCGGCGGCAGGGATAAGGGGGAGAAGGCGAGGGCCGCTCAGGGGGGGACGGGTCACTCCCAAAGCGGCTGGCGCGCGGCCAGCCCCGCCGGCGGGGACCGAGGCGGCTGCGGGGTTCCAGCGGCGGCGGGGGTCGGTGCAGGTACCAGAACAAGTCCAGCAAGTCGAGTGTCACGAGACGGCCGAGGAGCACGAAGTACGGGCACATCCAACAAACACGAAGAGCATGAGAGTACCCTCCCGAGCCGACCTCGTTCTCATACCTCGGTCCGACTGTGCTGATAACGGCTTTCGAGCCGCCTGGGGGCAGGCGTCCCCGAGGGCGGAATTAGCTTGTTATGCACTTGCTCGTCCGCGAACTCATGATTCCTCCGACCCACCGACAGCTGGATGAATATTGGGCGTTGCGCCCTTGAGTGACAAGCTGCGCCCGAATGAGCGGGCGGCCGCTCACATGACAAAAAGTTGCTGGCGCACTCGGCGGCGACAAAGTCATTGCCCGCATTGACGCGGCCAGCGGCGTGGTAAGTAGAACGAGCCAGGCCTTCAGGCAGCCGTCGGAGGACCTCCGAGAGAACAAGGCCGCCGAGCCCCGCAGAACGTACGGCTCCAATGGTGCCCAGTGTAAGCGAAGCGGGCCTCCAGGAGCACTGCAGTGTTGGCCCAAGAGATGCCCTCGGCGATGGCCCAGTTGGTCCCATGATGGCAACAAGATAGCCCGAGGTCCTCCCACGGGAGCACCCGAGAGGCGAAAAGGCGTCAAAAAACACTTGACCTTCGTACACATACTAGTATGCTCGATGTTCTGATATAGTAAGTGCTTCGGCTCAAGATGGCCCCGAGATGGACTCGAATTACCTCCAGGAGGAGTCCAATGCTGAGGAAGAGCGCGACACGATCTCAAGAGTCGAGTCAAGTCAAGTGGCCGTGAGGCCACTGCTGCGGCGGCAAACGCTATACATTACGAATGAGTTCACGCGGTTAGGCGTTCTTCTACTCTGGGTTTCGACATCTGGCCGAAGGGTGGAGTGGGGGGGCGGTCTGGGTCTGGGCCGGTGCTTCGCCGATCGTGGGGAAACCAAAACGTACTGATACCGCTACCCCCCGGACCTCTCCCGGGGTGCGTTCTTACCAGAATTTCGAGGCGAATCCAGCAGTGGCGACGAGGGCCTTCGAGGAGGCCTAAAAAGGGGAAAACGGACAAAGGGTAGAGGTATGGGTGCCTTTGCCTCCTCTGAGATCTGCTTCCACCAGCCGCGCAAGCAGACCGGGGGCGAGGGTTGCGGACCAGTCGCCACAAGCAGCCGCCAGAAGCAGCCAAGATCTGGTCTGGGAGGGGGTGGAGGGGGGCGGGGGACGGAAGGAGGCCCGCGCCGATCGGCGAAACAGTGGATAAAAACACGGCGAGTCCCGCAGAACCGGCACGGCATCCAAAACTCGCTGGCCCAGCGCCGACGACGAGGCCACGAAAAAAAAACACCCGCAGGGAGAGTGGGGGCGCACGACGGGGGAGGACGAGAGGCGCGGCGGAGCGGGCGAGGGAGGTTGAGCAGGGACCGACGGTCCCGGCATTCCTGTAGGCCTACCACGACATGTTCTTAGAACCCAAAGAGTGTTCTAAGAACAAAAACTATGTTCTTAGAACATGAGCCCGATGTGTTAAAACAAGACAGTCTCAGCCAGAAATATTCTGGGCACATCTCGTGGAAACCACAAAAGGCTCTTAGAACTTTGCTTGGTAGGCCCACAGGTACGCCAGGACGCTTCGCCGCTGCTTGAAGGGAAGGTCGGGCATTGGCAGAACTGGTTTTAGTGGAACGTGGTTTCGTGATTTGTACCGGGGGCGCCCCCCCGCCCCATTTCCACTGACCGGAACTGCCGTCACTCGAAAAACACTAGTTTTTCGGAAAAACCTGGTTTAGTGAATCTGGCCAATTGAGGGGCCCCAGGGCCCTACCACTAACCGGGGCCCCTTACCCGGGGCCCTGGCCAGACCCGAGGAGGGGCGAGCCGCAGCAGAACACGCCACCTGCGCGGGCAGCGGCAGGCCTCCGACGCAGCCAGCACAGGCACCGCGGGATGCGAGCGGTGCACGGCAGCTCGGCACTTTGGACGCCCGAAATGGGTACGGAAAGAATGGGTGCACGGCCCAACAACGAGTGTTGTCCCGAACCAGCAGGGGCCGCTGTTGGGCAGGCGGCCTCCTGTCTCGAGCTGACACAGGCCGCGGCGGCGTGGACAGCGAGTCCTGTTCAGAGTGAGCCCTCCTGGGCCTCGTGAGGAGGAGGAGAAGGAGGAGCAGGAGGAGGAGGAGGAGGAGGAGGTGGAGGAGGAGGAGGAGGAGGAGGGGGAGGGGGAGGAGGAGGAGACCTGCGAGCGTGGCATTGTACCCATCCTTTCCGTGCCCATTTCGGGCGTCCAAATGCACGGGCGGAGGGCCCGCGGGCTCTGCACGGGCAGCCAAAGAGGGCCGCTCCCAAGGGAGGGCCCCGAGGGAGAGTTCGAGAGGGCTACCCAAGAGGCCCCCACACGCCACTGCGAGGAGCCTTCGCCCTCCCCGCTCCCCTCCATGCGTTTCCTCCTCCTCCTCCTCCTCCTCCTCCACCTCCTCCTCCTCCCCCTCCCCCTCCTCCTCCTCCTCCTCCTCCTCCTCCTCCTCCTCCTCCTCCTCCTCCTCCTCCTCCCCCTCCTCGTCCTCCTCCTCCTCCTCCTCCTCCTCGTCCTCCTCCTCCTCCTCCTCCTCCTCCTCCACATCCCGCTTCCTCCCCAGTCCCCCTTCGTCCAAGACCCCCCCCCTGCTGCGCCATCAGGCGCACCGTTCGGGTGGGAATAGCGTGTTGCCTAGGACTTCCTCACCGTCTACGGCATAGAAGCTTGCAACGTTCAAGAGCTACACGGATGGAGGGTGTACAGTTTGCAAAAATGAGCCTTTCGGCTCGTCTTAAACAAATTCTACTGGTGCACGAAATGACTGGCGGCTCCTCTTCAAAATGGAACTCTCAAAATTGCTCACTTGTCGTCAAAACATATCCCGGCGAAGGGTCCCACCATATGCAGCTGTGAGTGCCGCAAGGCAGGTGGGACGGAGGGGGATCTCCCTGTGGGGCCTGTGGGGGCACGAAACGCGTAAGGGGTTCGCCGGCCAGAGCTCCTCCTGAGCCCAACGGTCCTTCTCTCAGAGTCTTGACTGTTCTCGACCTCTGCCAAACCCTTTATGTCGAGAGGTGGAGAAGCTCCAGGTCGGGCCCAGAAGGGATGGCACGCGGTCGGCGACTAAGCTCAAAACGGATGGTCGCAGGGCCCTCCCAGGTCCTTCATTGGGCGCCTCGGGTCCATATCGGATCCTCATTGGCCGACTTGGGGGCCTCTTGGGCCGTCCCTGGGCCGTCTCGGGGTAGTTCTGAACACTATTGGGGCCATAGTTGGCCTCCTGCGGGGACGTCTTGGACTTCGTCCAGGGAGGTCGTCGGCGCGACTTGGAGCGATACACGGCTCCTCCAGCGGGGGCTGGACAAGGGCAGGGGGCGAGCGCGAAACGCGTTGAATACTCGCTGGCGTCACTAACCACTAACCGCAACGTGTCCGTCGTGCCAGGTATTCAAGCCTTGCCGAGGACGTGCGAGGCAGGACTCGCCGAACTTCGCGGGCGGGATTCATCACTATTCGTACCCAGAGTGTCGCGGCCTGGACTCCTCGAACGCCATCCCACGTCGTGATACAGACTGGGCCTGCACGGATGCCCCGCGCGGAACGCACCCATGGGCCCGCGCGTCCGTGGGACCCCGCCCCCGGTGCGTGGCTGCCTCCAACAGGCGGCCTGGGCAAGTGGGGCCCGAGGATCGCACGGCACCACCGCTGCATCGCCGACGCACCGGCGCTGCCAGGACGGAGAACATCGGACTCTGGGACTCTGTTGGGCCGCTTGGGGGCTTCTGGGGGCACTTGGGGGGCATCTTGGGGCGGAAGGATAGAATGTTCGGTTCGTGTTCTCCCTCTTCGCCTCTCTTGTGGATCCGCTGGGGCGATCATTCACCGTCTTGCAGCGACGACGCAGCGGCGATGCGGCGAGATCCTCCGACCCCATCTTCGCGGACCCCATTCCCAGACCCCCGACGTCAATGAAGATCTTTCACAACTTGGACCCCCAGAGGTCTCGACCCAGTCCCAAAAACGCTCGCTCTGCATCCTGGGTCGTGACTTGACGGTCCCGGGACCTGGCGGGGGCCCCTAGATGCCGCGCGCCGCGGGGGGGCGGGCAACCCAAGAGGCGTGGAGTGCCCAAACCGCGGGGGCACAGACGTGGATACGCACTGGAGGGACAAGAGCACGGAGACCACGAACAGGACGCTGCCGATCCCGGCCGGCGGCCGCCTCGGTCCACGCGTCGACTCGTGGCTCGCCCTCGGGAGGTCGGCGACGGCCGGCACGAGACCGTGCCCCGGACCGTCGACGTACGAGACCGATGTTGCATCACAGCAGCAATTCGGCCCCTGATTTTCGTCCTGGGTTCGATTTAGTGAAGAGATGAATTTCGGGGTCCTTACGTGGGAAAAAACATCACTTCACTAATCTGGGGCCCCTGGGGCCTCAGTGGGCCCTGGGGCCCAAAATTAGTGAAGTGATGGTTTTCGGGCCTCGGAGACAAGATCGGCGCGACGCCCTGCTCGTGGGCAGCGTGCTCCCTCCCCTCGAGGCACGTCGCCCGCGGGCCTCGGGACGGCGCGCAGGCCTTAGTCCGCCGCCCCCTCGGGCCGCAGGGCGCCCTCGCGGGCGAGGAGCACCCGCTCGAGGAACTGGCCCTGGGTGCCGTAGACGGCCTCCCACGGGAAGCGCGGCCCGTCCGCCCGGGCCTCGCTTGGCGGGGACGCGTTTTGGGACGAGCTGCGACGACGCCCGTTGCCCGGGACGCCCTCCCCCCTCCCCTCCCCCCTGCCCTCCCTCGCCACGATTCGCGCCGTCGCCGTCGGGAACTGCGCCGGGGTCACAAGTGCCCAGACGGCGACAGCGAACCGCGACGCTGCCGTCCCCCTCCCCCGGCCCCTTCCCCCCCCCGTCGGTGCTGGCCGCCACCGCGAGGGAATGGCAGAACGGGCACGAGCCCAGACCGCTGGCGGTATGTTTTCCTATCGCGGCGCCAGCCCTCCATGTCCGCTCGCGAATCCCGGGGCCATCAAAAATACGCCTGTCGTGCAGCACTGCTCCTGGGGGGGGGCTTGGGGGCTCTGGGACGCAAGCTGAAGAAACGAGTCCTGGATCCCAGGGCCTTCCCCCGGGGCCAACTCGCAATCTGGAGCTTCGAGAAGGATGAAGAGTGTCAGTGGCACGTGCGTTGTTTTTCATGATGTGTGGAGCTCGTTATTTTCTCTGGACAACAAATAAGAACCACTGAGAAACGGTTCGCTCATTGATGCTCGCGTGTCGTTCAACATGCAATGCTTCAAAACGAATACCAAAAACGACCTAATGGACAGTAAAACACATGAATATTCTCAACGATATAGTGCGCATGTAGAAAAACAAAAAGAAGGCGGGGCAAACCGGACCGCCGGGAACATCCCCGCGACCGCCATCTTGAGGCCGTCCTGGGCATCTTGCGGCGTTGATGTAACCAATGCAACCGGAAGCCCCACCCCCCTGCAAAGCAGTGCGGAACCCAGTTGGGAAAACATGCCTCGGTCCACACCCTCGCGCGGAACAAGCCTGCAGTGGCCCCACGCAGACCGTGCATTCACACCTGGCTGCGCGAACGAGTGGAGCTTTCAGTTATCTCTGCGCAAGTCACTCACCGATTACGTCTCATCTTTTCCCCCTGCCTGGTCGAGCCCACTGTCATTGTGGCCTTGGGCCCTAATTACCGCGGCGACAGTCCCCAAATCCCACGGAGGCGTCTAGTTGAAGACGGACTTTTCTAAGAAAGAGCGACTATCGAGTAAAGAAGAACAAACGCGCATGAACAAACACAGAGAGACTTTTTAAAAATTGTCACTCGCCCGTTTCTTTACAAAAGCGTTCATTACTCAATTATTCGTCTCCAGAATGCGAATATCTAATGCATATACATGTTGTGTTGGAACGTTCATTTGTTGTTTCTCCCGGCCCGTCTTCATTGAGAGGAAACCTTCGTCGACCCTCCGCCGCGTGGTCCTGGAAGAGGAAGGCGCAAACCGGCGGCCATTATATCCGACGCCCCATTTGGCCGAACTGCTACGACGCCCACTTGCAACACCACCAGGGACTTGAGAAGAACATCGAGAAACGGACAGAAAAGCATACAGTCAAAAACCCTAATAAGGACGCGCGGTGAGAACGCAAGACCCTTGGAAGCCGAAGTTGGGATTTTTGGGGCGGCGGACGACGAAAACCTCAAGGACGCAAGAGCAAGGAAGAGCAAGGACGCAAGGGTACCCTGAGCAAAGTCGCGCGTCCTTATTAGGGTTTTGGACTGTAAGGTAAACCGCCTCCGAATTACTTCTAAAATTCTCGAGGGCGGGGGCTGGGCCTCGGGTTCGACTGGTGATCTTGGGCTGTCTTGGAGGCCTCTTGGGCCGCTCCTGGAGCTCTCTCGGCGCTTCTTCTGGGGGCGTCTTCCATCTCCCCGGCGCGATCCCAGGCACCTTGGAGCTCTCATGGAGCTCTCTTGGGCTTTCTTGGAGCGCTCTTGAAGCTCTCTTGGCGCTCCCGGGGCACCGAAGCCTCCATGGCGCGTCGAGGGGCCGCCCTGGGAACCACCACGCATGTGCAGATATCAATCGCACCGCTCCCGTCCCAGCGGAATAGCATCCAGGGGGGACAGCTAAACAGATGATTATTCGGCGCCGATTTCATGGCACTCGGAATTTTTGGGGGGACGGGCGGGGTCATCATTCTTAAATCAAGTTTTTGGACATTCTACCTCACACCCTCGTTCTCCCTCGATACCCGCGCTCTTCGCACACGGTCATACCCCCTTTGGAAGTATATCTGCCTTTCCCACCACGTGCGGTTGAGGCCCACTTTCTATCATTCCCGATAACGCCCGCTACCAGCCCCTCCACCCCCGTTCCCCCCTCCGGTCACGTCACGATTTCGCAGGCGCTGGCGCGAATCGTGACGTCACTACCCCCCCTGCCCCACCCCCACTCCCTCCGTCCGGTTACGCCTGTCATCGCCAGGGGATGGCAGATTGTTTCTTGGCGCGGCCGCCACTAGAGGACGAAGGCAAAAAGGTTGTGAAGAACTCGCAAGTCTGAAACGGTTGTGGGGAACAGGCAGGCCGGGCGGGCGGACCCAATGAGCGGTTCGGGCACCTAGACCCTCAAGCGCGGCCTGGACACTGAAGCAGGCGGGCGGGCTTTCAAGGAAACCAAATTTTGTGACTCCGCGGGCGCCGAGTGGTTCAAGACAGTCAGACGCCAGTCAGCAAGCTGGCCAGACTGCAGAACATTCGAAGCAACCCTCCCCCAGGATGCACGAGCGCACCCAGGAAGCACGAAGAACCTCAGGGCACCGTCCCCGAACCAACCTCGATCACACACCCGCTGGCGAGCCAGAGGGGGGGAGAGAGGGAGGCCTCGTCGGAAGGCGGCGGGACTCCTCCGAAGCCCTCTGGCCTTCCGAGGATCGGCGGTGGACAGACCTCCCTCTAGTAGACCTCCCCTTCGTGAGAACGGCCTGGGACCGAAACCGACGGACCTGGACCCGCAAAAACGACGGCCGCGACGCCCTCTCGCGAACCGAGAACGGCCAATTCCGTCATCGACGCGTCAGGGCAGGAGGTCTGTGCACCTCCGAGAGGCGGCCTCCTCGGTGCCTCCGGGGCAGGCCCCCCGAGACTCCTCGGCAGGCCGCAGAGGGCTCCCGGGCCTCCCGACAGGAGGCCCCGCCCCTGCCCGCGTTTCCCCCCCCCCCCCCCCTCCCTCCCGGGGGCCCGCCGCCGATCGATCTCTGCCCGGGGCCGGCCGTGCCCGCTCTCCGAGCGCCCCGATCGATGGGCCCCTCGTGCTATTCGGCGGCGGCCTGAAGGGGGGCTCGGCGGCGCGCACGAGGGGGGGTGGGGGGAGAGGGGGGGGGGGGCTTCTTAGGAGGAGGCTGCCTCTGAGCAGGCGCCGGCCTCACGTTCATCGAGGAGCCCCGCGCCTCCTGAGGAGCAGGGGCGCTTCTATAGAAGCCCTCCCCCCGTTCCCCCCCCCTCGGCGCGTGGCCGAGGGGGGGCGCCTGGGAGGGGCGGGCGCGGGTCACGGCCGGCGGTGGGTGCGCGGCCCGGGGGCGGTTTTGGAGGGGGCGGGGGCGCACTGGAAACCAGGAGAGGCGCGAGGAGATCCGGGGAGCGGGCACGGCCCCCGCCAGATGAGATCCACCCCGCCCAGTCGTCCCCGACCGCCCGACTGGCCGACTCCCCGACTGGCCGACTGGCCGACTCCCTGGCTCCCCGACTCCCCGACTGGCCGACTCCCCGACTGACCGACTCCCCGACTGGCCGACTCCCCTTCTGCCGCCCTCGACCGTTCTGGCCGCTCCGCGATCAAGGACCCCTTTCCTCCGCGGGGCGGCCTCGCGCACAGCGGCCCACGCGTCGTACGCGGCGGGCACGCCTGGCGCGGCGCGGGGCCGCCGCGCGCCCACGGAGCCCGCGGCCTTCCTGCGCTGCCGCTGCAGCACGCCCTCCTCGGGGGGAGGAGGAGCGGCATAAGCTATCCAGGGTCCGCTAGGGGTGCCTTCCTATAGTAGGAGCTCGACCACAAGAGACCTTCCACGAGAAACCCGACCCTGAGACCCCAGGGCGTCCATTGCTTCTTGGTGCGGGAACGTCACGCTTTCCATAGCAACACTATCGCAACCCAAGAAACCCAGGGCACCCTGGAGGCAAGCAGGGTGTGTCTTGGCATGGGCTTCCACTGTAGACGAAGATGAACAAGTAGCTACAGGGCCAAATGCAAAACGACTGAGGGCCGTGGGGAAAGGTGGTAGCACGCCAGCCGTCAGACAAATCATCTGAGGAACGAAAAGAAAAAGAAGAAGAAGAAGAAGAAAAAGAAACAGAAAAAGAAGACACGGCATTTGCTTCGAGCGATCCCCACCCAAGAAATCGAGGCGGAATCCCCGTGGAGCACCAGCTCACACTGGGCCTGCCGGCCGCGGTACGCAGTCGTCACTCGTCGAAGGCACGAAGCGTGGGATAGGCAGGGAGCACCAGCACACGTGGGGCGGCCGCGGCACGCAGAGCGCGCGAGGCGGGACAGAAGCCCTCTGATACTCTAGCAACACCCACCTGTGAGGTGGGGAACAGAAAAATTACACTGGTGGATCCAGGAGACCCCAGAGCGCATCTCATCGTGGAACTGTGGCAGAACACGCACACACACACACGCGCAGGCATAACCTTTTCCGAGGTCCGCGTGGACCTTCGAAATCTCGTGCTCATCCAAATGTGTTGCACTCGACTCCCGACCTCCCTTCCCTTCTGAAGGGAAGCGATACGGGGGACTGGCTCAGGGGGGGTGGCAAATCGAGCTGGAATCGGCGATGCATCGCCGATAGCTCGGCGACAAGCCCTCGATATCGAAGCCATACTTCCCTGGGCGGGGTGGGCTACGGAGGAGCCCAGTCCACAAGGAACCTTCCACGCAAAAACCCGACCCTGAGACCCCAGGACGTCCATCGATGTTTCATGTGGGCACGTCACGCTTTCCATCGCAAAACTATCGAACCCCAAGAAACCCAGGGCACCCTGGAGGCACATACGGCAGGTCCATGTCGTGCCGACCCTGGCGCTGGTTTCTGACACCACGGGGATCGTGGAACCTTTAACGATCGGCCATGTCCGAAACGTTGGGTCGTTCAGCATTGATCGATTCTGGGTCGCCGACGGCCTTCAACGTTGAACGCCAGCGGCGGGGTCGCCGCTGGTCGACACGACGCAAACCTACCGTAGGGTGTTTCTTGGCATGGGCCCCCGCTGTACCTTCCTGGGCGGGGTGTGCTAGATACTATCGGCAGGCCGGTGTCGGCGATGCGTGGGTGATCCGGGGTCGATGCAGGCTTCTTCTCGCGGCTCCGCGGCTCCCAAGAATATACACCACCACCACCACCACCACCTCCACCACCACCACCACCACCACCACCACCACCACCACCGCCACCGCCACCGCCACCGCCACCACTACCACCTCCACCTCCACCTCCACCTCCACCTCCACCTCCACCACCACCACCACCACCACCACCACCACCACCACCACCCACCACCCCACCACCACCACCACCACCACACCACCACCACCACCACCACCACCACCACCACCACCACCACCACCACCACCACCCACCACCACCACCCACCACACACCACCACCACCACCACCACCACCACCACCACCACCACCACCACCACCACCACCACCACCACCACCACCACACCACCACCACCACCTCCACCACCACCACCACCACCACCACCACCACCACCACCACCACCACCACCACCACCACCACCACCACCACCTCCATTCCCCCTCCATTCCCCCTCCCTCCTCTACCCTCCTCCCCCACTCCTCTTTCCAGACAGAGGGGATGGGCTTGGGGAGGTGGTGGTGGTAAACTTGCTGGCCCCGCACTTCTTCGACTCCTTGGCCGCGATGGCCCTCTCGCGCGCCTTCACCTCGGCGAGCCGCGCCTGGAGCCAGCGCAGGCGGGCCTGCTGGGGGGGCAAGAATTCACCCCAGACCCCCCGAAGGCTGGAAAATACTACAGGATTGACGAAAAGCTGCATACGGTGGAGCCCAGTCCAGAAGAACCCTTCCACAAGAAACCCAATCCTGAGACCCGAGGACGTTCATCGATTCTTTAGAGGGGGGACTTCACGCTTCCCATCGCAGAACTATCGAAACCCAAGGAACCCAGTCGCCCTGGAGACAAGCAAGGTGTTTCTTGGCATGGGTCTCCACTGTGAACCGAAACTTTCGCATAATCCGTGCAGATTCCTCGGATCTGTGCTTGAACAGGGACCGACCGTCCCGGCATTCCTATAGGCCTATCACGACATGTTCTCAGAACCCAGCAATGTCCTCATAACCCAAAAACAATGTTCTGACAACATGAGCCCGATGTGATAAAACAGCACGACCTCGGCCAGAAATGTTCTAAGAACATTTCGTGCAGACCACCAAAGGTTCTTAGCACACTGTTTGGTGGGCCTATATCGGCGGTGGACAGACCTCCCTTTAGTGAACCTCCCCTTAGTGAAAACGGCCTGGGACCGAAACCGACGGCCCTGGACCCGCAGAAGTGACGGCCGCGACGCCCCCTCGCGAACCGAGAACGGCCAATTCCTTAATCGACGTGTCAGGGTAGGAGGTCTATACACCCCCGACTATAGTAGGAGACCGATTTCTGACCACACCCACTTCCCGAGGTGCCTTGCGAAAAGCGGTTTCCAGAGGTGGAGGTGGGCAGTTTCCCCGCCCCAGGGGAAGGAAAAACTACCCACTTCCAACCCCGAGGGCCTATCATAGAATCGAGGATCCAGAGGTGGATGTGGTCAGAAATCGGTCTTAGACATAGGCGAGCCAGGACGCTTCACCACTGCCTGAAGGGCTGCCTCCCCCCCCTGCGGCGCGCGGAACACGCCGGGGGCCGCGCCGCCAATTGGGGGGAGCCCGGCGCCGACCCGAGAGATCCGCGCGGGGCCCCGGAGACGCGCGTCTGTCTCGCTGCTCTGCTTCTTCTTCTTATTATTATTATTATTCTTCTTCGGGGCAGCAAGGTGCCAACCCGCCTCGAACTTCTCCCTATCCCTACGATGGGCGAGCAAAAAGCGAGAACAATCTTAGGGATAGGCCCTCGCAAACTGAGGGGATCCTTGAGATCGGCATCGACGTGAGGTGGTGTCAAACATAGGGGTAGGGATGTGTTTCAAACTGGTTAAGGTGCATGCTTTTCACCACTTGCGTATGTTGTTCCCATCGGTATGACGACCCACGCCCTCCCCCCTCCCTCCTCCCCTCCCCCCTCCCCCTCCCCCCTCCCCCTTCCCTCCCTCCTCCCTCCTCCCTCCTCCCTCTCCCTCCATCCCTCCTCCTCCTCCTCCTCCCTGCCTCCCTCCGTCCCTCCTCCCCTCCTCCGCCCTCCTCCTCCTCCCTCCTCCCTCCTCCTCTCCCTCATCCTCCTCCTCCTCCTCCCTCCTCCTCCTTCCTCCTCCTCCTCCACCCTCCTCCCCCTCCTCCTCCTCCTCCTCCTCCTCCCTCCCTCCTCCCCCCCCATCCTCTGCCCTCATCCTCCCCCCATCCTTCTCCCTCCTCCTCCTCCTCCTCCGATCCTCCTCCTCCTCCTCCTCCTCCTCCCTCTTTCCTCCTCCCTGTCTCCCCCCCCCTCCTCTTCCTGCCTTCTCACTTCCCACTCCCCCTGCTCCTCCTCCTCCTCCTCCCTCCTTCCTCCTCCCCCTCCCTTTCCTCGCCTTCTCCTCCCCCCCCACTAGCTCTCCTCATCTCCTCCTCCTCCCCCTCGCTTCCTCCTGCTGCTCCGCCTCTTCCTCCTCCTCCTCCTTCTCATCCTCCTCCTCCCTTTCCTCCTCCTCCTCCTTTTTCCTCCTCCTCCTCCTCCTCCTCCTTCCCCGCTCCTCCTCCTCCCCGTCCTCGAATGCAGTCATGTTAACGTTTTTCGAACGAGGTTGGCCAACAGAAGCGGCCAAGGATGGACCGAGTAGGCAAGGATGCACAGGGGTTCTCTTGGGAAGGTTGCTTATCCTTCCTATGCGGGTTGACCATACCTCTAGACGTCTGGAAAGACGGATCCGCCCGAGGCGACGGACGAGGCCCCCCAGGGAGGGCCAACACGACAAGAACGGCCAGCATCGGATACCCCCAAACGTCCGACGATCTGATGTTCCCCATGGAGCGACGGTCAGAAACGAGTCTTACGCGAGATGGCACAGCGACCTCACGCGGTGGCGCACGCGGGCCGCAAGCGCGGCACGATGCGCTGGAAGCGAGGGCGCTTACGCGAGACCTCACGCGAGCAGCTTGCGCGCCAAGGTCTTTGCGTCGCTCCATTGCCGCGTTTCGCTTGAATTTCGGTCTCTGGCAGCCGGACCCGTTTCTGTGCGCCGCTCACCTGGTCTCTCGGGGACGCGCAAACATGGATTAGCGATCCATGGATTTGGCGCGCGGTCGCCAAATCCATGGCCTCCTCCAAATGCGGCCAGTGCCGCCTCGTTCGGAGGCGGAAATCCGCGATCTCCCGCAGAAACGGGACCCGTCGCTGATCCACGCCGCGCCCCCTTGAGCCATGCTTGCGAGCGCCTTGAG